TGAATCCACAGGTCATGCACCAGGCACCCAAACTGGTAGGAAAATGAGGGAAGCTGGGGAGAGGGAAGGGGGGAGATTAAAATGTATAAGGCAGAGATTTGCTTCCCTGGAAGATCTAGTTGTGTGAGAAATCAAACAATGAGAATTCTAGAAATGCCTATGAGAATGCCTATGTTAATGTAAATATGCAATTTATATCACCAGGTATTCCCTAACCCAGGGAAAAGGAGCTTGTGGCCTTCCAGATGTTGCTTGATTTCATTTTCCGCCATCTCTGACTGTGGCGATGCTGGCTGTGGCTGATAGGGAATTCTGCCACATCTGTAGGGCCTTAATTAGAGTATGGATGGGTTTCTCTTACAGCAAGGGTGGTCAACTCCCAAGAGACTGCGAGCTACTCACAGAGTTAGAAACTGGCAGTGATCTACCCCCTTTTGCGGGGTTCAGGTCAAACTTGTTCAGTTTTTTTCAGGAAGGAGGGAAAACATTGAGCTTTTTTTAGGGGGGCCACAGTTGTTCAGCTTCTTTGGGGGGAGCCAGTGATCTACCGCAAACGTCCAGTGATCACGATCTACCTGTTGGACATGCCTGTCTTACAGTATCTGCTTGTGCCAAGTACTGGCAAGGTTTCCTGGCAATTGGCAGCCACCATTAATATGATAACCTTTCTAAAGAATGGCCTGCCTCCCATTGATTTGTGTATGGGAAAGCTGTGGGTTTTTTTGCGGCCTTTACAAGATGGGAACAAATGAATGCAAACAACAGAAAGAATGAAGAGACTGGATTTCTCCATAATCTGGCCTGGCAGCATACAACAGAGTTGGAGAGCTAGCACAGCAGGAGCCAGGACTGCTCAGGATCAGAGTTTTGCAATAAGCCTCACTGGAGCAAGTCTCTCTTAATAAGTTTCCTTCCTTTTGCTTTCCAGAACTTTAGCCTTGCAGAACCAATAGTCTGACACAGTATGGCAAATTCAGTGCTTAGGGGAAAAGATGGCACCTTTCCCCTAATCCCTCAGATTTGAAAGTCCTTCCTCCAATAACTGATGAATGAAATCTGCCTTGCAGTTACAGTGGTGCCTCGCAAGACGAAAATAATCCGTTCCGCGAGTCTCTTCGTCTAGCGGTTTTTTCGTCTTGCGAAGCAACCCTATTAGCGGATTAGCGCTATTAGCGGTTTAGCGGCTATTAAAGGCTTAGCAGCTTAGCGGCTAAAAGGCTATTAGCGGCTTAGCGGCTTAGAAAAAGGGGGGGAGCGAAAAAAAATCGCAAGACTCGCAAGACGTTTTCGTCTTGAGAAGCAAGCCCATAGGGAAAAATCGTCTTGCGAAGCAACTCAAAACGGAAAACCCTTTCGTCTAGCGGGTTTTTCGTCTTGCGAGGCATTCGTCTTGCGGGGGCACCACTGTACTTAGGTCCGAGAGAAAATGCACTCTGAGCCTCCTGAAGGAAACTTCCATATAATTTTGCTTGATAGGTTCAAGAATTGAGCCTTGGCACCAGAAATAGATTCTGGGGCAAAGTAAGTCCTGTCTTATTGTTTTATATAGCCAGGAGTTGCAAATATATTTCTCTTTTCCTCTCTCTCTCTCTTTCTTCCTCTATGTTAAGAAGGTATGAGAAGTCTTATTTTTTTCATTTGGGAGAAATTCATTTTCTACCTGGTTGAGCACAGGCTTCAAATGACGCAAGTGACAAGCTGTTAAGAGTGTGTGGCAATCAAAACCTCTCTTGATGGCAAAGTTAAAAATATGCTTCTCTGCCTGTCATAGTCTCAAAGATTTTTATTTGAAAGAAAGAAGTGGTATAGGCTGGGGTTTTTATGCATTTTATGAATCCAGTGGAAATATTGTGTCATGGGATGATACGGGGCATATCTCTCCTGAGATAAAGCATTAGTATATAATGGTATTTAAAGCATAGCACCCTAATTGCATTTTAAAAAATAATCAGACAGTGGTCAAGAGTCCTCCAATATTATTACTCTAATTTTATCTAAATGAAAAGTTCATCTTTGTCTTGGTGTTTCTGAAATTTTGGATGACTACAGATGTCATCAGCAGTCCCAGTGAAGGTTCATAAGGCAAGGAGAACCAGTCTAGGGTGGGTGGGAGATTCTCTTTGGGGAAGACTAAGACAAAATAGCACTGAGGTGTTAAATTCTGACCTTGTCATTAGGTCGTTGTTCCACTTACCTTTACAAATCCTTCTACCCTTGTGAAGAAAGAAGAAACCCTTAGAAGCAGGTCACTTCTAGTAGTCTTATGCTGCCTGCTTCACCAAACCCATGTGATTTCCTCTTGGCATGTCCTTGTTGTCATGGAAATGTGCATGCCGAATATGTGTGACGCCATATGTCAGCTTGCAGCAGCAGTAACCTGGTGTGTGGTGCATGATGGTGCAACAGAATTGCTAAAAAGACATTCAATACAGGCAAGTGCATGGGATATTCTGTGTGTGTGGAGCAGGAATGGCAGTATTGTGCTACATGTGGCGTAGTCCTCATGCGAAGAAATAGCTACGTTTTGGAAATTTGCTACCCGTCCCTTCTTCCTGCCACTACCATTCCAGATACTCTGAGGAGATATTCCCCAACTTCGATATCCTTCCTCCCCTTCAAAAGAACATTTTTGGTGTGTCAGCATTGGAACACTTTTATTACTGCAGCTACCCTCTCTGGTTCTCCTTAAGGGGACTCCTGCCAACTGCCCTCCCAATGACAAAAGGAGAGTCCCCAGATCTTTCTCCTGAGGCAATGGATGCCTCTGTTGGCACTGTTGTTTGTCCTCCCACTTTGCTTCTTGTCCTGAGGCCTCCATTTTTTCAAGAGTGGGTAATAGGGCAGCTAAAGTGCACCCACAGGCAATGCCCCAACTGTATTTGCTCAGGCATGAGAAACACACCCCTGGTGGACTACTCAGGTACCAACTCTTTCCTTCCCTATTCCTTTCAAGTTAATTTGGCTACCTTTCTGACAAAAACATAAAAGGGAGAAATCAAGGGAAGGAGAATTTGTGCCTCCCAGCCCCACAAACTATTTAAATTGTGAGACAGTAGCACAGCAGTCAGTTGACACCAGGCTGAAGGAAATGTGTTAAAACCATGTTGGGAGATAAAAGAATCACTTCAAGAACAGAAACTGAAAAATCTAGGGTGGTAATAGGCACAACACAGGAATTCAATGATTTGGGAGAAGATTGGGTCACTACCTAAAGACCTGTCTGCCCAAAGTTTGCAGGAAGGTTGGACAATGTCAGTTATTTCCTGAACATTCATTCTGATTTGTTACATGGTGTTGCATTAAGTGTTATCCTACACTTTCCAGAGCATTTTTCTCATAATGCTCCTTATAGCAGAAAGTTCCATTTGGGGGGGGGTGTGGATTTGTCATGCAAAAGCATCAAATCAACTATCAAAATAGCAACAGTGCAGAAGTGCCCATCATCTAGATTCTCAGGAATGAATGAGTGAGCAAATGACGTCAAAAATAGAATAAAATAGTCTGTACAGTGGTACCTCGGGTTAAGTACTTAATTCGTTCCGGAGGTCTGTACTTAACCTGAAACTGTTCTTAACCTGAAGCACCACTTTAGCTCCTCCCGCTGCTGCTGTCGCCGCCGGAACACGATTTCTGTTCTCAACCTGAAGCACTATTTCTGGGTTAGCGGAGTCTGTAACCTGAAGCGTATGTAACCCGAGGTACCACTGTACTATGGCAAAGGGTGCTTGTGTGTTTTTTTTCTTTCTAATTTTAAAAGGGCTGGGGAACGTTCAGGAGTGTGGGGGGAATGGATTAACCCCACACACTTGTATTTCCAATGCTTATCACATGCACATTCTGTGGCTGCTGCTATTTAAAGTTTTAAAAACAAGCACACATCACCAAACTATGTGTTTAATGTAAAGTGCAGTTTGATCCTATTAGTGACCTTTTAAGGACAGGAAAGTTCCATTCACTTGAAAGCAGAAATTCCAGTAGATTGTGCCCCATATTTCACTTCCAAACATGCCTACCTGGCACATGTCACTTCAGTTTTTGGCCTTCACTGTCTTGGAACAATGTTTTGCATATTTCCTGTGCATACATACCTTCTCCACCCAGAGAGCACAGTTTTTAAAAAAATGTTTTGGACCACTCAAAAACATTTGGCAAAAAGGGAAGTTATTTTCAGAAGCGACCATATAGTTGTCTGTTAAAAGGGAAAATTATGAATGTGTGTAGGTGACTCCATGCACAAACACAGTCGCCATATTCACCATATCTAGAAAGAAAGGAAGACTCCATAGGAGGAAGAGGAGCCAGGGAGGACTGCCTGTAATTTCTGCTCAGAAAGAAAATTAGCATGTGCCTTATTAAAAAGAAATGAGCTTTTAAATGCTGCCCTTTGAGCTGGAAGTGGAGTGCAAGCAGAGGCTGAGCGTAGGATGCAGTATGAACATCACTTCCTCAAGACACTATTATCGGTACATCTGGTTACATGAAAAGCTGCCATTCTGGACAGCAACCATTCCAGTGTCAGATACCAATGCAAACCTTGAGCAGTCATCATTTGTGATAGTCTGGAAACCTAGAAGAATCTGGTATTTCAGCTGAATCCATGTGCTGAACACCCAGCCTTTGCTTATCAATTGTTTTATAATACCTGTTTTAAAAATTGCACACAATGGGTCATGAATTGTTTAGTCTTTAAAACTGGAAATAATAATATGACTTTGGCATGAGAAATTCAAAAGAATAGGAGGACATGTCATTTAAAAGAATATACAGTGCATTTAATATATAATAGCATACTGTCCTGTAGTTTGCAGTACTGGAGGCAGATCCTTTCATGCCTGCTGGATGCCTAAAACCAGCCTTTCCCAACCTGGTGCTCTCCAGATGTTTGGGACCACAGCTCCCATCTGACCCAGACAGCATGTCAATTGGCCATGCTGGTGTCTGAAGAAGTGTGCATGCACACGAAAGCTCATACCAATAACAAACTTAGTTGGTCTCTAAGGTGCTACTGGAATGAATTTTTATTTTATTTTGCTTCGGCGATGGCAGACCAACACGGCTACCTACCCTGTAACCAGAGCCATGCTGGAGGTTATGGGAGTTGTAGTACAAAATGCCAGGAGGGCACTAGGTTGGGGGCAGGCTGCCAGTCCTATTCGCCGTTTCTCTCCTCTCTCAGATTATGGTAGAACTAAACTGAAAGCATTCTGTGAACAACACGTTTGTGCTGCTTATGCAAGAAGCAACACAGAACTCAAAGCAAGGTTTAGTTAACTTGCTTCATGAGACAAAATAGACAGTGCATGAGGTTCTTTGTTTGGACAGATAGACAATGTGCTCCCATGTGGGCTATGACAAGTAACACTATTTTGGCAATACGACACATTATGAGTTTTAGAAAAGGCATCAGTCCTAGGTAGATGCCATCAAGGTTCCTGCCCCTAGGTAGATGCCATCAAGGCCCCTTTGTGGAGGCACAGCTACTTGTGGTCCTAAACTGGTGTGGGCAGCTGCCCATTGAGTGTCGAGTGCTTGATGCTGTCATTCAAGGTGGTAGCTCGGAAAGTGTAAGACCGCCCTCTGACCGAGCCCTCCGTATAGAGCCTCTCTGGCTTGTTCTGGCAACGGAAGAACATGAGGAATCCATTGCGGTAGTTCTTGTTCATCCAGCCATAGAGCAGAGGATTAGCAAAAGTGGAGCACATGGCCACCACGTGGAACACGGTGTAAAGAAGTTTATAGTCATGGAAGATGAGTACCAGGTCAAGGTCAACGGCAAGTTGGAAAACATGGAAGGGGAGCCAAGAGACTGCAAACACCACCACCACCATGACCAGCATCTTTGTGGTCTTTCTCCTCCGGCAGTGACTGTCACTCCTAGCAGTGGGACTGATGTGGCTTTTCAGCTTGAACCATATTCTGATGTAGGCGTAGCAGATGATGGAAAGAGGGAGGACATATTGCAAGAGGAGCATGGACAAGCTGTATATGGTGGCATCCCTGCTTTCAGAAGGCCATTTCTCAGAGCAGACGGCGATTCTGAGATTGATGGATGGGATTTCTTCATACCTGTACTCTCGGAAGATGGCCAGTGGACTGGCTAGGACGGCGGCAACCAGCCACGTGAAAGCGATGATGGTGAAGCTGACCTTCTTGGAGATCCTGCTATCCAAATGGAAAACAATGCATCTGTACCTGTCCAGAGCAATCACAGTTAAGGTGAGAGTAGACACATGGACACTTAAAGCTTGAGCGTAGGAGACCAGGTGACAAAGCACAGCCCCGAACTTCCACTCATCCAACAGAGTGTAGGCCAAAGTGAAGGGCAAGCAGAGCGTGTCCACCATCAAGTCTGCCAGAGCCAGGTTAGCTATGAAGAAGTTGGTTACAGTCCTCATGGTTCTGTATCTCACAATCATGTAGACTACTAAGGAGTTGCCAATGAATCCCAGAAGAATGATTAGGGAGTAGGCAGCTATCAATATGATCTGGACTCCCAGGATCTTGGTACTGTCCATCATAACATTACTGGATCCTTCAAGCCCCTGGCTAGGGGTGGCAAAGCCCTTTGCATGCCAGCTGAACGGCAGTTGTTTATCCAAGTTATGCTCTTCCAGGATGATAGTGCTGTTGGCTTGATCAAGCAGCCCCATTCCTATTTATTGGCTTATTTTCGCTTCTGGGCTAATGATTTATGTAAAGTTTGCAACTCCACCTGTGAACATGGAAACAAGAACACACAAAAAGGATATTTTAGGAGGGAGGGGAAACCCTAGATATTTCAGGTTTCAACAGCATATCCAAGAGAGCATTTCAAATTAGGCTCCATCCCTAAAGTCCTACCAACACTAAAGTCCTAAAATTCATTGTCCATAGTTTCCATACAACATTTTCATGGCTGTTCTTTGACTCAGTTGGATGCCCCATCTCCCATTTTTATCCACATGATAAAATTAATGCTGACCAAAGATCTAAGAGGCTGGTCTCAATTGAATTATTTGCATTAAAAATGTATTTACTTCAAAAAAATTATTTGTCTAAAATTGAATGGGCTGAAAAGACCCTTTCAAATGTCAGGCTGATGTAATCAGATAAACCAAATCTTCTATTTAGCTGATAACAACAGGCAGCCCCTGGCCTGCAATCTGCCTCCGTGGTCTCTGGTGACATGGGCTCTGCTTGTCAGAATAATTAAATCTGAGAGAAGGATGGGGAAGGAATACAAATAAATATATAAATCAATAAAGGACTGGGAAGGTAATAGAATCTGTGGTAGTTTGCCCATGAGGGTGAAATAAAGTTGCAGTTCCACACACACTTATCTGGGTGAAATAACACAGTGGGAAGCAAAGTCTGAGTCACATGGGGTCATGTATCATCCTTAGGCACCCACTGGGCCCAGAACCCTGGCTGGGCTGAGCACCACCACTTAGCCTGGCCCTTTGACTGACAGTCCAATCCACTGGTTGCTCATCAGCTGCATCCTGGAGCTAAGTGTTCAATTTCCCACAGTGCCCCTGAAGTAGCATTGCTTTGGGGCACTGTGGGAAATTTAAATGGCTGCTCCTGGTAGGGATCTGGGAGCTGCCATTTAAATTTACCATAACACCTTGTAGAGATGCTTTGTTGGGGGAACTGGGCTGGGGGATTACAAAGTTGTTTCATCAGAGTGCTGCAGCCACCAGGTCATGTAGCTGAGGGGCCCCTCAAAGGTGGAGCTGGCTGTGCTTTGAATACACATACAGTCATACTTCAGGTTGAATGCGCTTCGGGTTGAGCGCATTCGAGTTGCGCTCTGTAGCAACCCGGAAGTAAAGGAGCACGTTACTTCCAGGTTTCGCCGCTTGCACATGTGCAAACGCTTAAAATGATGTCACGCGCAGGCACAAAAACAGTGGAAAGCAAAGTGCGCGTGCGCAGACGTGCCGTCGCTAGTTACGTTTGCTTCTAGATGCGAACGGGGCTCTGGAACGGATCCCATTCATATATAGAGGTACCACTGTACTTAGGATTGGGCTGTCAAATGGAAGGCCTGGAGGACTTTCTGGAACCGTAAATTTTCCCCATTGTAGTATACAGAATTCAATTTTTTTGTTTTTATTTCCATCATCTGAATCTGTGAATTACTGGTATATTAGGGTTAGTAACTTTATCAGTCATTGCCAAACAAGATATGTGTGGATTTCCCAGCATTTGATTTTTTGTTTGTTTGCTTTTTAAAAGAAAAAATGAAGAGGGACAATGTAACCAAATTCCCTGATTTAAATCATACTGTGATGCTGCTGAAGTTGCCATGGATAGGAAGGAAGACTACTGCACTCTGGGATACAATTGGACTCATGAAGCTAGCATAACTTGACAGTAGGTTGTGATAAGAAATCAAGTGAGTTACATGCACGAGTGAGCAAGCTCCAAGATGCAGATTTGAACAAGATAATGTTTCTTTCCTAGAGCTAGACACAGCTTCTAATTTACAACTTCCATTAAGCTTCATCTCAAATGAATATATCCCCAATGTGCCTTGAGTTTCCAGATGATAATTATCTCATCATCCAGCACACCCAGCTGCTTATCACTCCCCTTTGGAACATTCCAAACATTTGCTCTGACCATTCCATTTTAGCCTGAAGAAAGGTTATATGAACCTGAAAATGTGATTATTGTGTTTTTGCATTTGTTCCTAAGCAACCTGCATTCATTCTCTCAAAAGAAACGTTTATACATTTCACATGCTACACTCAACAATTGGATCATGAAGACTTAGTGAAATCAGTGGGGCAACTTGCAAACAACTAGTTTGAAGCTAGTGGAACTGAGTAATTTGGACCACAAATATCATTGACCTGGTTGTTGCTGGAGCATCTATTTTCACCATGTGGCTGTTCTCTTGCGTTTTTCCGTGAAATGCATGCAGTGGTTCCTTAAACAAACGGGTGGGGAGAGAGAATGGCTGACCAGATGGTGATAAAGGCTGAAGTTATGTCACAATTCATAATAAATGTCCCTTTGTCCGTTTATCACTTGGTAGAACAAAGTTCATAAACCCTCTTGGGAGCAGCTGCAGGAATTCATGTTGCTTGGCTGCTAAACTCTGCTGTATGGGAAGAGAGGGAGAGAGGAAGGGGCCTGGTTTAGATTGGTCTGAGCTCCTTCCTCACTTACATATTATTGGCTCACTGAAACGAACACCAATGGGTTGATCTGGGATGGTGACTTTTGTAGTAGATTCTCTATGAAACACAAATTAATATCCCTCTGTACAGTTGTGAGGATAAAGACTGTCAGTTCAACTTCATTGCTGCCCAGAAACACTCTTCTGGCTCAAGCCTCCCTTGTGCTGTAGGGGTCATATTGACCCAAACTTTTCAGCAAGAATGAACAATAACTCACGACACAACTCAAAAGCTGGTGACATATGGGATTAAGGTTGGGCATTGTGTTTCAAAGGCTCCCACACTGTCCTGTGTATTTAACCCTCATGGTCACAAATTTGTGTGTTAACATGTGCTAAGTTTCACTGTTGGTATGGCTTGTTTTTCTTGCCTTTCCCACCCTCCACCCCTACTACTTGCCATACTGGACATTTGCAAACTTGAGGGATGTGGGTATTAATTGCATGATGAGATATATAAGATGATAGCTGAGTTCACTTCTGATTTTACCAGATTACTCTTGTAGCAACTGCCTATAGGCATTGCAGAAAAGCCTGGTGGTCATATTTAGCCGGAGCTGTCTAGGATTACATCTAAAAGTTATCATGAAATAGACTCACCACCACACTGACCATTAAAAGTATTGCCTACAGACACCAAGCTATGTTCAGTACTATGGTTGCAGTTCTAGCCCAAGTTAAGCACATTTATATTTTATTGATAAAGTGATCTTCGGATGAAGGGTGGTATATAAATTTAGTAATCCAGCCCCAATCCAGCTCTAGTCATGCATTCATTAGTGGCTTGGGCTGGGGTAGCACAAAAGGAGCATCTGACCGAGGGCTGACCCAAGACATTTTGTTGCTTGATATGAAGTGGCAAATGGCACCCCATTCTCCACCCCCACCCCCAAGGTCAATGTGCATAATGTCCAAAGCCAGTTAAGTCATTTTGACACCTGAGGCAAAAAAAACTACAACAAACCCAACAAGCACATTTTCCCCACCATGGCAATAAAAATTCAACAACGACAAATTAAATGACTAAAATTATCCTTCTCTTTCTGACTAGGTCAGTTGGATTCAGATGAGCAATGTAGCTGCAGATATTCATCCACATCAGCCACCCTGATTTAGATTGGTCTGGGCTTCTTCCTCACCTTATATATTATTGGTTCACAGATCTCTCTTGATGGTTCCAAGGATAAACACTGAGGTATACACACAAGCTGAAGAAACACAGGATGTCCTAACATGCGTGAGCATGCGATAGTTTGTCTATAAGACCCCTTTTATCCAGTAAAATATATTGAGACCATGCAAAAATAAATTAATAAATTGTGCGGGTTTTTCCCATGTGTGTCCATGATACCATTCCCTTTACCGCTGTATTTGGCTTGACTGTCCCATTGACTTCCACATGCTGATAGCCATGGATAGCTCACTTGGTTAGAGCATAGTGCTGATAATGCCAAGGTTGCAGGTTTGATCCCCATATGGGACAGCGGCATATTCCTGCATTGCAGGGGGTTGTGCTAGACGATCTGCAGGATCCTTTCCAACTCTACAATTCTATGATACTGTGAATCTGATAATTATACTTGATTTCCTCATCTCCTTTGCAAGTAGGCTGAAATGGACAAAGGCTGCCCAGCAAATTATGCTTGCTCAGTTGTCTTCTTCATATTTTTCCCACTTCAAACAATTAGCTGCAGAGTAACCATTATTGCAATTTCTAAAAGTTAACAATTAGAGAACAGTCAGAGGTACAATTATTGTTCGGACCATTTCGGATTATTTGTTTTAAGTGTCTTAATGGGTTTTTTAAAAAATAGGCTAACATTTCAGAATTAATTAATGCATTTCAGAAATGAGGCAAAGTAATAAGTGTGATCAAAAATAATTTGCAATGCTTCTAGACTGGTTAATACCCAAACAGAAATCACGTTTGCTGAAAACATGCTGAAATTTTAATCTGTAGCCAGGCAGGCTCCTCGAGTATATGGAGAAACTGCTGGTGTTTCGTAAGAATCAAGCAACAGCTAAGCAGTCTTGCTGACTGACACAGGGGGAAGAATTCATTTGTGACATGATATAGTTCTAAAAGCTCTAAGAGACTATTAAACTTTTGGTGGTAAACATTTTGGGTACTTTCATGTGTCTTCTTTCCCATAGGAGGGGTCATGGCCAAACAGTTAAGGTGATACTAGGACAGTTAAGCTAATGCAGTGAATATACAAAGCAGGGTTTCATAAACTGTGAGCAAGGGATCACCAGTGAGCCTCAACCCTCTCTCAGGTTGGCCTCAGTGCTGCAGCCTGCCCGGTGCTTCCTTGCTTCTTCATCCCACCCATGATTCCAGCATCAGCAGCTTCACATATGTGCAGTACAGAGGCACTCATGGGAGTGGGAGCTGACTAGAGAGTGAGGCTAAAACACATGAAGTTGGAGGGAGGAAAGAAAGAGAAGGAAAGAGATTAGGAATGGGCAGCGTTGCTGGCGAAGTGTGAGGGAAGGAGGAGAAAAACAGGAAGGAGGCCGAAGGGATGCTCAGGCAGAGGAAGTGGAAAAGAAGCAGCAAGTGTTTAGTGGTGTGCTGCTGCTGCATCTTCTGCCCCCTTCCGTCTCACGCACACACATGTGCACTTGCTCGCTTACTCGCTTTCCCACAGCCCAGTCTTCCTTCTTAGCTAGGAAGCCTCCCCTCACTGCCTTCAAAATGGCAGCTATCTCAGAAAAACAACCAGCCATTAGGTAGTGGTGCTGGGAAGTGGGCAACTGGTGTGTGCGCATGTGCTTGCATGTGTCATGTGCTATTTAAAGATAAAGGTACCCCTGACCATTAGGTCCAGTCGTGACCGACTCTGGGGTTGTGCGCTCATCTCACTCTATAGGTCGAGGGAGCCGGCGTTTGTCCGCAGACAGCTTCTGGGTCAAGTGGCCAGCATGACTAAGCCGCTTCTGGCAAACCAGAGCAGTGCACGGAAACGCCGTTTACCTTCCCGCCAGAGCGGTGTCATGTGCTAGGACAGAGGAAAAGAAGGTGAGACTGAATGAATATGACCAGGAGAGGGAGAGTTTTGAGTTGGGTGGGAAGAGAGAGTCTCCCTTCTCTGAGGTGAAAGGGCCCTCAGGAAGAGATAACAGAGAGAAGCTGTTATGGGAGGAATAAGTGTGCATAACAGGAGCAGAGAAGAGGGATCAGAGAATGTAGACCTTATTCCTTCTTCTCCCCACAAACTGAGGGGAAAGAGAAGGGTAAATGACAGAGATGAATAAAATACTTTGAAAGGCATGAGTATGGGAGGAAAAATATAAAATAACAAGCTTTCTCCACATGGGAGCCTCTGGGTCAGCAAATTCTGCTGAGTCATGATACCTCCAGAACCAACTGGAGGGAAGGTAAACTATGGAACTCCCTGTCACAAGGAAATCGCTGTGGCACATTTTGAAGAGGAATTAGCAGTGCTTTTTTTCTTTAAAAAATGTTTAGGTAGGGGTATTCTCATTTTCCTACTCATATTGAAATACTGCCCCTCAATGAGGCCAAACGTAGATTCACAAAATGTTTAGGGGTATGCATACCCCTGCGTCCCCCCAGAAAAAAAGCACTGGGAATTAGATATCAATTAAAAGCTATGTCAGCAATTGGCACCTGATTATGCCAAACTCCACACTCTTCTGCCATCATTTTGTGACAGAGCTGGATCCAGGAGACCTCTCAAACTATACATTTGCCATGGCATGCAATTTACTGATTTCCTGGACCCAGAAACCCCTCACCCACCCAATTGGTCTTTCAAATTGTAGTGGTGCCCCATGTGAGGCAAAAATTCGTTGCCCCACCACTTCTTGCCTTCTGTTCTGTGTGTGCACTATGTCACAGTTGCGATGCCCTGCAGCTCTCCCCCTTGGTTCAACAGCCAGCACGGGAAAAACAATTGCACTGCCCTACATCTACCTCTACCCACAGAGCTTCCATCTTGCAAGTTGTCTGATTCAGTTTATTATCCCTCATCCAGCCCAATGCTGTATGCAGACACCAGTTCAGGGCCTTTTCAGCCATTCCTGCTTTAGAAATTACAGAAATTACAGAGAATTAAAATGGGTATCGTAAGCAAACACCTCCAAAACTCCAAACTCCAAACTCCAAAACTCCTAATGGCTGCTCCCAATTGCTTCATGTAGATGTTAAATAGCTTCAGAGACAAGATAGTGCCCTGTGGCACCACATAACCAGGGGGCCAAGGAGCACTCATCCAATGCTACCTTCTGGAACCTGTCCTGGCGATAAGACCAGAGCCACTGCAGAACAGTGCCCCTTAAACCCATCTCCTGTAGAGTATCCAATAGGATACCATGGTCAATAGTATCAAAAGCCTATGAAAAATCTAGTAAGAGCAACAGAGTTGCAGTTCCCCTGTTGCTCTCCCAACAGAGGTCATCCATCTAGGCAGATTCAGTCCCAAACTCAATCTGGTTATATGTACACAGCCTGTATTTGGACTGGATTAGTTCAGACTGCAAGTTGTGGGCATGCATGATAATGTTCGTCCATGCAACAAAGTACCATTACAAAGAATACTAGAATATCTAGTCAGTATCTCTAGAGGGATTTAAAAAGAAATAGAGGAACGTGAGCCCCCATGATTCAAAAACGTTATACTAGAAATAAGTTGATCGTTACATAAATAAGTGGAGCTTTTAATGGGACGGAATAAGATTCCAACATGATAGACTTTTAGGAAGCAATGGGTTTAATTAAAGCCAGGAAAGTACTTTAGAGGTCAACTAAAATTGAGTAAGATCTCATAATATGTTTTGATGATATAGGCTGGAGAATCAGGCTAAGGTACTCTGTAAGGTTAGAGGGAAACAGCTTAGAAGCCATTATGCCAATAATCTAAGTTCAGACAACAATGTCAAAGGACTTGAATTGCTGATATTGTGACTACTATACAACTGAAATGTGATAACATTAGTGGACATGCACTTCTCGGGTAGATGCCATCTATGAAAGGTGGAGCTTGGATTATCTGAACAGTTGCAAAACTACAAGGTTTATTGAACACTAACAGCACCCTAATGTAGAATTGGTCTGCCCTAGTAATATGATCCTAAAAGTTCTCGATCTCCCTTTGGGGTGTGATTGGTGGCATAATGATCTACTGATATTTGCATGGGATCAGAAATTACCCTAGTGCTGGATCAACCATTCCTCTGCCATCAGAGGTAGTAGACTTTCTGGTAATTTTCTCTTGATGTGAATAAGTATAAGTAAGTAAATATTTACTGTAAGTAAATATTTGCCCAGATCTTAGGTTGACTCTTGATTCAGGCCTTCAGAGCAGATTTTATTTAAAATGAGAGCTGTTGTTCTAAAAGCAACA